AACGATTGGGCGCTACACGAGCTGCAGTCCTTGCATGAGCCCCTGGATTTCAAGATACCTCGCGCGTTGCGGTTGGTCGTACTGTTTAGGGTTTTCAGTTCCGCATTTTGTTGGGAGCGTGCAATCATGTCTGCCTGGCGGTCTGCTGCGACAGCAGCAGTAGCAGCAAAGCAGTAGCAAAGCAAACGATATCATCCCCTCCCGCCCCACCCCACCTGTTCCCCGAACCGCGTACCCTCCTTTTGACCGGCGGCGCTTGGCGGTATCTACGGTGCAAGCACCCTCCAGATGATACATGCGGTAAGTCGGCGATATGGATCCGTGCCGTATCGTGGCGTGTACTACATGTTTCGTGTCGCCGTGCCGATTGTGTTTTCCTGCGCCGCGTATCGCGTGATTATGCAGTCGTACTTGGCTGGCGGTTGGTGGCAGCAGCAGCAGCAACAGCAGGAGCAACAGTAGCAAAGCGCAGCGGAGCAGACCCCTTAAGGAAAGGTGTCCAGCCCTAAAACAAAGTCCGGATTAGCGTTGCTAGCCACCATCCAAGCATGATTGCTGTGTATCTCAGTATGTGCCTGTGTTTAATGACCTCGTTGTGGGAAACGCTGCCCGTCGCGGTAATGGACGCCGCGCACTCGCTCCACAACGACGCCTTCCGGCAACTGCTGCCACGGTACCGCGGATATGAATGCCATACGGTACGGTGCGGTTCCTTACAGTAACGTACGGTGCGGTACGGGTGCAAGGGTTTCAAATAAAACCTGCAGTAGCATGTCGTAAAACACAGCAGGATTCCGGAAGTGGTCTCCCTGGTAGTGGCCTGAGTTCTCTCTCGCTTCCCTGCGCGGGAGTGCACTGTCTGTCTGTCACCAGGGAGCAGTTTTTCCGCAGGAGGGCGGGTGGTGCATAGGAGGTGAGATAGAGAAGGATAGGAACGGTTGAGAAGCGCCAAGGCCTCGCCGGTGTCCGTTTTTAGTAGTCCCTTAGGTGGAGCTGCCAAGAGCGCACCACTCGCCAGCCCCACCTCCGCGTCCGTTGTTCGTGTCGCTATTTGCGCGAAGCGGGACTTTGCAATGCAGGGCCCGACCACCGCATGCTCGCCTGATGCTCGTACGGTGGGTTTCTACCCGCTCAGGTTATGGGCTCGCGGACGGGTAAAGGAGGTAAGTGCGCTGTTTCTAGGAAATGGGACGTTCTCTGACGCGCTTGTGTTTTCCCTTTATCGTTCTTCCCTAGGTGGCAGAGGCGCCTGGCTCCGTTGTCTTCTTCCCGAGGCTCGTGTTGGTGCTGCTGTGGCGGCGGCGGCACCCCGTCGTGGTGCTGAGGGGGGCTGAGCACTTCACTATTACGAGTGTCAGTATGTGCGTTGATTTGAGTTGAGGGATGTGTCCAGCAGATTACCAATCTGTTTCGGCTGTACGGGCGATTAACTGGTCGGTTGCTATCGGTTGTGGTGTCGTGACTCTTCCGTGTGCCGTAGTTTGTGGAGCATCATCCTATTGTGTGTTTCACGTCGCGGTACGGTACGAGGATTAGTGATAACTGCACAGTGGGCTTTGGCCGGAGGCTGGCGGCACAGCAACAGCAGCAGCAGCACTGTGTCGTACCGTCGAGGTATATTGCGCGCTTGATTTGCTATGAGCCGGTAATAGACACATCACACGCTGACTTGTCCACACACACACACGCCCTCCCCACTTGTTTCTCACTGTATGTCCGCATGAACCTGGTCCTGCAATCAACATGATGGTCCTGCTGCTGCTGCTACTGCCGGAGTTGAGTACCTTCAAGAGCTGCGATTACTGGCGGGTGCCTGAGGCAAATTTCTTGCGAATCTGTGTATGGCAAGGAGCAGAGGTGCGGTTAGGCCAGAGGTGAAGCCAGTGCGGCGGCGGTGGTCGTGGAACTGGTGGCGGTGGATGGCGCGATGGACATGGATAGGGTGTCTATATTTTAGATTCGGCCCCGGTGACCTATTTCCATGTGGGTTCGAGCCCCACCGTGATCGAGGCTACAGCCGAGCTCGCGGCTAAAGCTTCACCTTGTCAACACCTCTATTTTTTCTCGTTTTTATCCAATAGATATGTCTAGCAGAAGATAAGGAGAAACTGCAGTAGCAGCAAAGTGCGGTTGTCCGATACGCGCTGGATGAGAAGCGGCGCCAGTAAGCGCCACATCCAGGCCGCGTGCCGTTGGTGTGTAAGTATTTCAACAGTTCGTAGCGCCCGCGTGCGCTTTGGTCGTCAAGCCCTGCACCCGCGTCGGCTCCCTTGTTGTGTGCACTTCGGTATCTTACCGTTACATTGCCACCATTTATCTATGACGCGGCAATTGTCATTTTAGGAGCTGATGAAAATTCGGACTGGAAAATTCACCGGCAAAATTGAAAATAAACACAGGAAGGCAGGATCTGCCAGGTAGCGGCTGCAGGGTGAAGATATGACCCCCCTGTCCCATACATCATACATACACTCTCTTGCACTTGGATGTGTCGGACCGTCTGTCTTGCAGCCACCCTGTGGACCACTATCAGGCTACCGCAGCTCGGTCGCCACCATGGAGGCAGCTGCTGATTACATATTGTCACTTGGTGTTGGGATGACAGCACAGTGATGGAGCTGATCATGAACTTGTTGGAGCAAGGGATGGATGGCAACAAGTGATAGGGAACGGAAATGTGGCGGGAAGGGGCTGACGGGCGAGGGTGAACGGGAGGGATATAGGGTGATAGGGAGCTGGGCGGTGCACGATCTCGCTGCTCACAGCAGT